TCTCGGACTAACTGGGATTTGGAGGAGAGGGGGGCCGGGTGGATGACAAAACATTCTCAAGAACTGATAATCAAGGGTGCCAACCCTCAACGAATATACTTTTTTTTAAACGCCTAAGCTTTCTTTACTCGTATGAGGTTTGGTCGATCCATCATCAACATAATTTTTTTTTTATTTTTAACAAAATGATAATATAATAAGATTTTTTTGACATTTTTTTTAAAAACCTTATCTTCACACAAAGATTAAAAGCATGGTTAAATACAAGAAAATAGGAAATCACATGAAAATTAAGATTATAAACTCACACACTAAAGATGCTTTACGTTGAACAACTCTTGGTTCAAGGAATCACAGTGAAAGAAGCAAACTACTGATACAAAGAGCGGACAAAAATGTGGATAGCCTAAGATGCTGGAACATTTCATAAAAAGATATTTCAAAGATAAAAAAATCAAAAATTGTTAACACTAAACAAAATGTCCAAAAATTCACATATAAAATGACAGAAGAACATTTTGTTGTGAGTTTATTTCACGCATTCTGCAAACATGTAAGCGTTTACAGCTGATTTAATAATTGGAGCTCCTTCATAAGATGGGTCTACAGGCTCATAGCAAAAAACCTCCAGGGTCGAAGGTCTGTAGCCTACAGTTTTGGTTCCGCATATCTCGCAAACATCAGCAGGTGTTAAAGAAGAGACTCCAACAGGCATTTTTATTTCTTCGTAATTTACATCTTTACTATCTAATCTCAACCCCGCCACCCAATCTCCCCCTCCCGAAATAACAGTTGTAGTCACAGTTGTAGTTGTTGTTGTTGTTGTTGTTGTTGTTGTAGTTGTATTTGTAGTTTTTGTTGTAGTTGGTGGTGGGGGTTTTGTACTCGGCAATGGTGGAATAGTTGTGTATTTATTCTTGATAATATTATTCTTCCAGAAATCCTTCTCTGGAATCCTTCTGTAGAAGGTTGATCCAACTTCAGGTTTTGTGTTCTCTGCATCTGCTTCAGGAACTACTGTGCAGGTATTATTCTTCATTACCACTGCTCCACAATTTACAGTTAAATAACATTTCTCTCGACAGGCTGATAAGAAATTCTTACGCTCAGGAAATGTAAAAATAGGGAAATCTCCTTGTACTGAGGTGTTCCATCTTGGATCATATCTCTCCACCACACCTCGACTAGGTGGGGGTAAACCTGCCCTAGCCCCAACAAATAATGCAAGAAACAAGAATACACGTGTTGCTACCATCATTGTTCTTCCTCAATTGATAAGTTTACACTTTACAGACTGGTCCAGTTGCAGCTTAAATTATAAATGAATTAATGATATAAATTAGTGTTTTTATATAAGATGGAAAACATTCATTTCTCAGACCATTTAAAAAATTATATGCACACTTTTATGATACAATGAAAAATAACTCCAAGTTATGTTTTTATTTTTATTTTTAAGAGGAAACCCTGCATGCTACGATAAGAGGAAACCCTGCATGCTACAACTCATGTTTTTTTATTGAAAATCCGTTTACTTTACAAAAATGGTAGAGGTGGATTAATTTAAAAAAATTGTTAGCTTAGCTGGTTTTTAGAACACAAAACAACTGTGGTTGGCCATTCCCTTGGGAAAATTGAAGAGTCGTCCCACCACCCTGCAAATTTAAGGCGTAACAGAGGTTTTTTAATTTAATCTTTTTTTAAATATTTTTTTTAAAATCCTTGCAGTGCCCATTTATCAATATTAACATAACTTTAGTTTAAATTATTATTTTCTTTCAGAAAATAAAATTCCATCTCCTGCACCCGTTCGTTTTAGGTTTATCATATAGGAATTACCCAAATTATAAAAGTTAATTATGTCTAAACCATTTTCTGAAGGTTATTTGGAATTAATTTTTCATGAATCTCTCCTTCACGATATCCAAAGCTAAAGAGTTCTGTACAAAGAAAGACTAAACAATTGTTCCGGCTTTATGACTTTAATAAAGCTATGAATTATAGATAAGACACCTTAGAGGGACTGTAAAGGAAAAATGAAAGGGGGTATAGGCTGAAAGCTAATCACTCTTGATCGCGACCAATTAAAGTTATATCTGATGTTTTTGTCTCGAGAAATTGATATAAAACTGTGTCAAATTCATAAGAAAATTCATATATGTACTGTACTAGTAGATTTTAAACAGATCATATTCTAATACACAACTAACCTGAAAACGAAGATATCCCAGAGAAAGCTAATCATCACTTTGGTTCTTTCCAATTATAATTTAGTAATCAATATTTTTATTTTTAACCAACATGAGAATTAGCTTTCTCTGGGATATCTTTGTTTTCAGATTCGTTGATTATTTGCTGAATTTGATCTGATCTGAAAATTTAGCATTTCACGAAAATATTTTCGCAAAAATTTTAGGTGTTGAGGCTGTATGGTGAATTTTTGCACAAATTTAGCATTTTTTAAAATTCCGAATTGTTTCGCGAAATTTTTGCATTTTCCGCGAAAGTTTTCCTTTTTGCTTCTAACCCTAGCTGTGTTGTGGTGTATGGAAGAGATACTGATAACCCTAGCTGTGTTGTGGTGTATGGAAGAGATTCTGATAAAAACCTATAAAACTAAGAGTTTATGTTTTGCTATTATTAAATAACAATACGAGTGTGCAGTTTACTACTGTAAATTTGTCCCCTGCAGAAAATTTTTGCAACGACAGTTCGTATTATTAGCCACCCTTGCATTGGTTAGGAGTATAATATGCTATGCAGAATTGGACCCCCATGCTATAAAATATTTTAATGGTCGATTTAATCGCAAATATTTAGCAATGCAATTTTAGGTTTCTAAACACTACCCCAACTTATAACCCCATTTTAAGGGAAATTATTAATGTGGATAATATTTTTTAACAATAATTCTATCCTCCCATCCTTCTATCCTTTCAATGATTCGCAATACTTTTTAAATTTCTATTAATATTCCCCTATTTTTAGGTTATAAATCAGGTTTTCCTCTTTATCAATTAATGTTTACAGGAAAAAAAATTGATTCTCACATGTTCTAATCCTTTTTTTCTTTTAACCTGTTGGTGTAGATATTTCAAATTTGGATTATTTGATCGAACAGAACCATGTTTTGACATTGGGTTGTACAGAAATAGGGATTTAAAAAGTTTGTGGAAAAGGCTCATGTTTTTAGCTTTTAAAAAATATATATGTTTTTTTATATATTATACATTTAGTCTGACTTCCACGCGTCCTGGCATTATATTTAATAATTCAAAAGTAAATCATACGAAAAAGCATTAATATTTAATATTTATTTGATTTATAGTTTGTAAAGGAATTCACATGTTTGTAAATGTGAGAACATATTTGTACTACGTGTAGGTTTGCAGGACCCGTTTTAGTATAAAAATTTTACCATTTCCTGTGTCAGTCTTCATTAGGCATTTGCCATTTTATGTTGCGCGCGTATGCCCTGTAAAATTCCAAAACAATGAGAGGGGGGTTGAATTTTGTTGATCCATAAAAATAATATCTGTTGGATGCCTGCGTAGAGACTGGCAGCTGGTGGGGTCCTAGCCGCAGCGCTCGACCCAGAAAGTTTCATAACCTAACCTAACCCTAAATAAATACTAATTTCTGGATCTACAAAATTCATTCCCCCTCTCTCTGTTTTGGAATTTTACGGGGCATGTGCGCGCAACAAAAATGGCAAATCCCCCTGCATTAGTATTTTTAAAAGATAATAAGAAGATATTTTGCAGATTTTCCATTTTTTATTGGATGATTTACCAAATCATTCTTAATCGAAAAAGCAGACAATAAAAATTTACTTTGTCAATGTTTATTTTTGTAATTGTTTGAAATGCCTTTTAAAAAATGTATGTGTATGAACCAATACCTCACTCTATTAGCTTTCTAATTTCTGTCCAAATTTTAGGCGCAGTTGGTTTTAATTGATGCCTTGGAGTAATTTATCAAATAAATCAAAATTGCTTATTTATTAGCTTTCTAATTTCTGTTTAATTTTAGGAACATTAAGATAGATTGTCAATGTTTTATTTTTAAACATGAATTAATGTAATTTTACATAGGAACTCTAATTTTCTAATCCCTATATCAGGTTTCAAAGAAATAAGGATTGGATAATTAAAATTTTAAGCAAGCACTTATAGTTCCTTATTTTCTAAGACAATGATATTATTTTTTTAAGAAAAATGTTTTGTTTTTAAAGCAGGGACCATGTTTGTTAATATAAGTTTTATTTTATACGAAATAGTCAAAAATCCGGATTATCAATTTCTTTTTTATACATTTTTTAAAATCTACGCAAAGTTTTAGAGCTCAGAAGTTTAAATCCAAATATAAAAAAGAAACTTTACTAGAAAATAGATAATAAATTTTCTGATTTTCGTAGGTTGCATTGCGCTAAGATGAAAGATAAAAAAATCATTAAAGTACTTCAAAAACTTTAAAGCTCCATAAATCTTTCTTTTTAAAAATAAGAATACAATTAAAGTTTCTAGTTTTCGTTGGATCACAATTTTTTCCAAGACATCGGACATTTTTATGTCACAGATAAAAATCATTATTGTCAACATTTGCATGTCTTTCTAATGACTTGAAGTACAAAAAAAGATAGTTAATCTAAATTTTTGGGGATTTACTTTTTATTTTGTTATCAAATAAACTTTATGATAAAATTTCAGTTTGCAGCCACCCTATGATTATTGTATCTGACTGAAATTACTCTTTTTATACCCTGGCCGAAAAGCAATTATGATTTACGTGTATATTAAGAATTTTCTCAGTTTGCGAGATTGTTCCTGAATGGACCATTCAGGATCATCTTTTTAAGAGGTTTCGTGATTTCTGATGGTTTGACAGGACCCAAATAACCCGGCACCGAGGACCAAACGGCGCATGCGCAAATTTACTGAGCGCCCCGGTAACATGGTATGCTAGTTTACTCACACCAGAATGGTCAGTTTAACTTGAACCGTGCTCAAGAACAGACGTGCCACTAAACCATGATATCGAGTTAAGAACACTAAACATACAATGAGCGGAAACATGGCAAAGTTATTTCTGCTTCTAGTAAGCTTAGTAGACATTATATCCTCCAGTATTCCTCCTTCAGATTGTAGTTACAGTGCTAGTAGACATCTTGTTTGTCAGCTCAGCTCAATAAACTCTAGACGAGAGAAAACTGACTTCTCAGTAGTTCCAAACAATACACTTAGTCTGACAGTGTTGTGTAGTGAGCAGGGTATTGGAGAACTTGAACCTGCAGGATTCTCTCCTTTATCCAATCTTCGTCATCTAGTCATTGAAGGATGCTCTCTTCGATCCATTCCTAATAATGCTTTCTACGGCCTAGTTAGTCTTCAGACCCTGAGTTTGAAAACAGGAAATGAATCTCCTCTGGAGGTCGAGGTTGGAGCTTTCTCCGGGCTTAAGAACTTACAGAGTCTAGATCTGAGCTTGAACTCTCTCCGGAAACTTCCCTCTGATGAGCTGTGCCACCTGGAGAAACTGAATATACTCAATATTTCTTATAATGAGATTGGTTCTGCATTTGACCTGGGCATTGACACCCTGGCCGGAGCCCGGGGCTGCCTACCCAACCTTCACACACTGGACGCAGCACACAATGAATTGACAGGACTGGAGACTAAGAGTATCTTCTCCCTCTCCTCCTTGAACATCCTCAACCTTAACACCAACTATATCAGGTTCCTCGTCAGTGATGTTTTCTCTCCTTCTCTTCAGGTTCTAGACATGTCAAACAATCAGATCAGTCATCTTCCATCTCAACTCTTTCAATCTCTTCCCCTGAGGGAGGTTCACTTGGCAAACAACTCCCTCTCTTCCCTTCCCTCCGGTCTATTCAGTGGGAACTTTGAATTGGAAACTCTGAACCTTGCGGGCAATATCCTTCTTGCATCAACCCTGTCTGCTAACCTGTCCCAAGATCTGCCAAACCTTCTCCATCTTGATATCTGCCACAACCAGATCCAATATATTCCTTATGAGTTTATGGTCCCATTAGTTAATCTTCAGAGTTTAAAACTGTGCGGTAACAAGCTGTCTGAGATTAATTTCCCCGCTCCTCTGATCAACCTCGTTAATTTGGACCTGTCAGATAATCAACTGAAAAATATTGAACCCCACAACTTCAGCGGTCTATCTGCTCTCAATCAGTTGAGTTTAAGTGGAAACCATATCTCCTCCATTCATCCTTCAGCGTTCAGGAACAATTCAGAACTCTTAATCCTGGATCTCAGTGAAAATAGTTTATCTGCCCTGCCGGAGAGTATTCAAAACCTGAGTAAACTTCAAACCCTAGACCTGAGCAGGAACTCTATCTCAGTCCTCAACCCTGAGAGTGTAAAAAGTCTGAGCTCTCTCTGGCGCCTCCAGATGCATGATAACCTCCTTTCCAACATTCCCTTGGGATTCTTCTCCACACTTGAATCTCTCCAGGTCCTGGATTTATCCAACAACCGTCTGCAGAGAATGGAACCCGGAGCCCTGGATCTGAACTCTGCTCTGAGAGCCATCAGGCTGGATGGAAACTATTTGAAAGAGATTGATGGAATCTTCACTAAGCTGCCCCAGCTGATCTGGCTTAATGTGTCGAACAATGAAATCCAAGAATTTGACTACACCCTGGTTCCTAGTACACTGCACTGGTTGGATATCTCCCACAATCAGATTTTTCATCTCGGAAACTACTTCAACATTGAGAACTCTTCCTTAACCTTCCTTGATGCTGGATTCAACAAGATCGAGCAGATCTCAAGTTCAAATCTTCCAAACAATCTTGAAACCATTCTGCTCAATGATAATAAGATCAGTGATATTTCTCAGTATACATTCTTCGACAAGCAGAATTTGCTCAAGGTGGATTTATCTGTGAATAAATTACAGCGTGTAGAGGAACCTTCCATCCTTCTCTCTCCTCTCAACCTCAAGGAAACCGTGTTTCTCCTGGGAGGAAACCCAATTATCTGTGACTGTAAGATGCAGTGGTTCAAGACAATCAACACTGGGGATTCCTTGGAGAACTTTCCACTTATCTCCGACCTTGAGAGTATCTACTGTAGGTTGGTTTATACTGGAGAACAGTCCTTTATTCCTCTGGTTGAAGCCAGGAATGATCAGTTTCTTTGTTCCTATGAAACCCACTGTTTCTCCTTGTGTCAATGTTGTCAGTTTGACTCCTGTGACTGTGAGATGACTTGTCCTGATGGATGTTCATGTTTCCATGATAACTCCTGGACTAAGAATATTATTCAATGTTCAAGTGGAGAGTTCTCGGCTCTACCTGATAATATACCTATGGATGCTACAGAGATATTCCTGGATGGAAACAAGTTGGATATTCTCCGGAGTCATACTTTTATTGGAAGAAAGAATCTCAAATCTCTTCATCTCAATAATTCAAACATTGAGAAGATTAAAAACCTTACTTTTAATGGTTTGCAAACCCTCACCTCTCTCCATCTGGAAAACAACAAACTCCAAACTCTGGAAGGATTTGAGTTCTCCGGTCTCTCTTATCTCCGTGAACTGTATCTCAATGATAATCAAATATCTTCTATCCATGATGCAACCTTCAAATCCTTAAAGAGTTTAGAGGTTCTCTACCTTCAGGGGAACTCTATCATTGATTTCCCAGTTTGGCAGCTGGCGTTCAACCCCTACCTGGTCAGTGTCCGCCTGGCGGAGAACCTTTGGAACTGTGATTGTGAATTCATGCACAAGTTCCAATCCTGGTTGAAACTCTCCACCACCAAGGTGTCCGACTCCGATCTCCTCACCTGTATATCCAATGACCCTGAGCTGGAAAACGTTCTGCTAACTGCTGACTCTGATCTACCCTGTGATATGAGCTCTGTAGTGGCCAAGAACCAGAAGCAAGAACAAGGTTTGGAAAATTATATGCCGCTGATGATTGCAGTTCTCGCCAGTTTTTCAATGATTGTCATCTTAACATTCATTGTTTTTGGGTTCAGGCATTCAATCAGAATCTGGGTCAGATCCAAGTCCAGTGAGAGAATGATTGAATCTCCGGAACCCTCTCAGCAGTCAGAAGATGGAAAACTTTTTGACGCGTACATCAGTTACTCTCCTCTAGACGGACCCATCCTCAACCAGGTGCTCCCCAGGGACCTGGAGAATAACTACAGGATCTGTTTGCATCATCGAGACCTGGCATCCAACCATCTCCTTTCCGACTCCGTCCATAAAGTGTCCAATGCCTCTAAGAAGATCATTATCGTGTTGTCCCAGAACTATTTACAAACCGAATGGGCTCGGCTTGATCTGAAAGCAGGTCTTCTCCAGACCTTGAGTGGAGGAGCTCAGAAACTAATCTTCCTTGTTGCTGGAGTTATTGATCCTAACTTTATAGATCCAACTCTCCAACTCCTGCTTAAGACTGGAGAGGTTGTGAGTGTATCGGAGCCAGGTTTAATGAACAGACTGGAGTTCTCCGTTCCGGAGTATCCGGATACTCACTACTATAGTACATGCAAGTTCCCTAGTATGTACCAGGATTCAGAGAAAAGAATTGTGTCTCACATCTGAGATTTGAATCTGTGATATTTCTAATCTGTGATAGTATTGTCAAATTTGTAATATAAAAATAAATTTTGTACTGTATCCAACTCGATTGAATTATTTTTTTAGGATATTAGATTTTTTCATTAAAAAATTAAAGGTTAGAACTTTAGAACTGAAAATAATTTTTTATACAAAAAAAAATAGAAAAAAATATTGATTTTGGATAAGAATTATAGAAGAAACATGTTTTTTATTAAAGTGTACATTAGTTTTTGTCTTGATTTTTTTTCTTGAAAGAGATGGAATAAGATTTTCAATTTAGAGATGCAAAGAGAGAAAGAGTAAAGAACATTTTTAAGTGCTTGCATGAAGTTTTTCTTTACGAGAGAAAAGCCACTTTTCTGTAAAACATTTTTTTTTTTTGGGGGGGGGGGAGAGTAAGGGATTAAGTTTAAGCAAAATCAAAAAGAAATTTAATTAAAGGGATTATCAACATTTTACGTGACCTAAAAAGAGCTTCAAAATGATTCAAAACTGAAGTTTTTTAAATTTCAAGAAATAATATAAGAAATTTTCGTAGGAACATGAGAGAGTAAACCTTTGATGTCTCAAACTTAGATAATTTAGTATAGCAGAGTTCATAGTTTGGAATATTTAAGGTCTTCAACATTGGGTTGCAAAGATGTAGGGATCAGTGTTTGTGGGAAAGACTGAATTTCATTTATTTCCTCTGTCTGTGTTCCATACAATTTTCAGCCATAATTTAAACACGACTTGCTGTAGTTTTTAACTATCATTTAGCATGAAAAAATGTATTGATGTAAGCAGTTTAAAACATAAACGGGAAGGGAATTGAATTTTTGTCAAAAATTTTAATTTTCTAACCCTAAATCTTTGAAACTTGATGTCGTGGACCTTCGATATTTCAAACGATAAGTTCTTTTAGATGAAAAAGTTTAAGTTCAAAATGTCATGAGTTTACACCATCAGGTTGCTAAGATATGAATAAAAGATGCATCTATATATGATCAACCACGGTTCTAACTTTGACCACTGATATTTTCGAAAACACTTTGATCGAATATTTATATTTAGTAAAAACTAAAACTTTTGATTCAAGAAATATGTTAAAGAGACTGTAAGCGTAATTTTAAGTGACCCTTCATGCAATGATGAAGAAGCCACAAATAAAAATAGACATAAAGAAACAAATGGATATCTAATTCATACTTGATCAGACAAAGCTTTTATGGTTACTGTTATAACGGTCATTACCATCTTTTTGCTTGGAAAGTGACTTGAAATTACGCACACAGTCCCTCCATAATGGTTTTAGTTAATGAACATAGATATTTCAAGATTTTGCCTTACTTATTTGATACTATTATAATTTATGTAAATATGTAAATCCTTTTATTTGACGACCACACGCAATGCTTTCCCCTTTAATATTGCGAATTTTCTTCCATTTTAAACGGATTTAATGAGTTTTCAATTCTAAAATCTACGAGTATATAGTTGGGCAATTCTGAAACAAAGCCGACTATAGTCCTGAAAAAAAAACACAGTTCGTAATTGAATGAACCGATGCCTGTGGCGGTCCCTAAAAACATGATTGTAGGGTTTAAAAAGGGCAGGCTATGCAAGGCAGTGCACTGGGGGGGGGGGGAGTTGGTCAGATGAATTTGTAATGGATATCTCTTTGTTTACACTAAAAAATATTTTGATAATTTGATTTAAAATATAAAGATTTTAAACTGACAATTCATCATACAAATATTGAAACACAAAACATGTTTGATTACATCCACAAAACTAACTTACCACTAGCCTGCACTAAATAAGATTAAAAAAACATAAAGATACTAAAATAAGATTATTTGCGGAACAGAGATATTTTTAAATACATTTTTTTTGGATATTTTAAAGAATTTTTTTCATCTATGTCATGCCTTCTATCTGTATGATTTTAGAAATCTCTGTCTCCTAATCAGTGGAATATAAATATAGGTATTCAAACCCATTCATATACATTCGACACTTGACATTTTTCTTCTATTCTCAATATACAGCATATACTGCTGAACTTCATTCCCTCTCTTCCCTTCTCTTCCTCTACCTTCACAGATAAATAGAGGGGAAGGGAGGGGTATATACGAGATGCTTGATAAAGATCAGATGAAAGGTTGAGTGACATTAACGCAACATGGAACAGTATCGTAAACTAAGGAATAACGTTAGATCCCTTCTAGGAACTAAAACCACCTCACTTTACTGCATTAAAGGGACTGTAAATGTAATTTCAATTTATAGAGAGACATGTCTCATTTACAATGGTACCCTTAAAAAGCTTTGTCTGATCAAGATGTCATAGTTTATTGTATATCTTTGAAAGTGGATTATTTTCAATTGTGAGGTTTTTTTTGTGAACAGACTTATATATTAAACTATCAGAACTAAGCACTGTTTAAGCTGAAAAATCGACGATATTTTCCCAATTTGTTATCAGAAGGTTTAGGAGGGTACCGTTGTAAATCGCACATGCCCCTCTTTGTTTAAACGGAAATGACAGCAACAGTCCTTTTAATCCTGATAAACTGGTTCTGCTTCCCAATTATAATGTATAAAAATCATCAAATAATCCAAATTATCTAGAAAAGTTTTAAAAGATTCCAAGAAGTAAAATTTTTAACCCGGCCCTCACCTGACCGAAAAGTTCTTGTGCACTGTGCACTGTGCACTGTGCAGTACCCTTTTGCAATATCTAAAGAATGCGCGAGTTCTAATCCTAAATTTGCGGATTTATCAGATAGATTTTAGACTTTGAATAACACCTAAACAGTTTAGGATGAAATGATACCTTTTTCATATTAAGGTTGCACAAATGTAAATGCTATAAATATATAGTTTTTATATAATTATAGACATAGAACCTTCTCGATGAGAAATGTCTGGTATAAGTATAGTTGACTGCATCCTGTCTTGTATAATGACAAAGTTTATTTGATTTATAGAACTAGAAAAATTCTTGAAATATACAGGGTTACCAATAAAGGTAGATACTTTTAATGACATTATAAACTTATTTAAATAAGTTGAATTGGGTCTTCGTTTATGAAAATTGGTCTTTTACAAATAAACTTGTTAATTTTTTTAAGAAAGAAACAAGATGACAACTACAAGAAGGCCTGAATTTCCAAACTGATTTAAGAAATTCTGTACAGTCGTCCTTGAAGTCTCATTATTTGTGAGTAACCCTGTACTGTACTTAGGAAAGGAAAAATATTCTTCTATGAAGTCTTATTCAAAACCAACTGAAGGACCCGGCGTTGCCCGTGAAAAAAAAAATTGAAAAAAAATTTTGAAAAAAATTTTGAAAAAAAAATTTCGATTTTTTAGGACACCTCCAAGCTACCTATGAATGTCCACAAAAAAAAATTCAGCCTATTCGATCCAGCCCTTTTGTCGGCCAGAGGAAACATATATATATATATATATATATATATATATATATATGGGNNTGTACCTGTACCTGTACCTGTACCTGTACCTGTACCTGTACCTGTACCTGTACCTGCTCCTGTACCTGTTCCTGTACCTGATCCTACCCTATTTACTAATAACTAGTTTGTAGACTGGAAGTCTATAATTAATGCAGAATATAAGAATGATAAACAGTTTATGAATGTAAGGATAAAAAGCGGTCTATTTGTGTCTAATTGTATACTCTGTATCCTATGACAAGAAGAAAGCGAGGGATCATGTCACAACATTAAATCTTGGGATTTACATAATTATATAAGAAACCACTTATATACAGCTAGTTTAGGAAACCTGAGAAAGGAACTAATTACTTGCCTCAAAATTAAGTTTTCTCCATATAATATCTTTAAAACACGATGTCTTTGCTCAAATAGTCTTAGTTTGATAAGTATAAGGTTCAAACCATCAGATTGCGAAGGTATTATATTAGAAATTAAGATGTGTGGCAATTTTTTAGTTCTTTAATAGACACCTTTATATTTATATAGTGAATTATAAGTATGTTTAGGTTTATATCCATGAAACCGACTTAAAACGGAGTTTAAAACAATTTACAGAAGTGAAATTTGGCAAGTATGGTCAAAAACAGTTTTTCTCCAATATACATATTTCTTTAAGTACTCAAAATAAGAGAGGTTTTGTTGTTGACTCGGTCAAATTTCAATATTTTTTAATTCTGAAAATTGATATGAATTCGGAAATTTCACCTGGTTTCAAAGATACCCAATTTAATAAGTTTTTTCAACATTTTGATTTTCACTTATACTAGTGATTTTTTTCACATTTTTTTACCATTAACCCCAGTTGAGACAGCCATTTGTAATATATGTGAAATATGCATTTTATAAATATGTCTTAGTATTCCTAGTAGAATACTTTTTTGCTTCTGTAAATTGTTTTAGAAAAATTTCACACCCTTAATATTTAGGTCTTATTTTATATAAAGGTCATTTAAGGTTTAAATATATGTCTCCATTGTATAAAAAGTAGTTTTATCCTTTATTTTAATAAGTGAATATATAGTTGGTATTGTCATTAAAGGTTAGATAAGTGCTCCTTTTAGAAGGTTTAATTAAATTCAGTGTCATGTATATGTTTAAATATATAGGTCTCTATATCTGTATTAGGATCCTATCATTTAGTGTATTATTTTTAGTGTATATATCTAAATATATAGGTCTGTATATCTGTATTAGGATCCTATCATTTAGTGTATTATTTTTAGTGTATATGTTTAAATATAAAGGGATGTATATCTGTATTAGGATCCTATCATTCTGTGTATTATTTTTAGTTTATATGTTTAACTATATAGGGATGTCATTAAAGGTTCAGATATGTGCTCCTTTTAGAAGATTTAACTAAATTCAGTTTGATGTATATGTTTAAATATGTAGGTCTGTATTCTGTATTCGGATCCTATCATTTAGTGTATTATTTTTAGTTTATATGTTTAAATATATAGGTCTGTATATCTGTATTAAGATCCTATCATTCTGTGTATTATTTTTAGTGTATATGTTTAAATATATAGGGATGTATATCTGTATT